CAATGTTTATTCAATATTATTTCAGGAGGTAGTTTTTGTCAAATGTTGATACATATTAAAATAATTGAAATCAATACTAACTGAGTCAATAATAAGTGAGGTCATTCACATATACAAGTCTTAAAGGTACAGTACAAATAAAAGTTTAATTTTAAGATTAAAATGCGCTTGACTATTTGGAAAATTCTGACTGTGGACAAAAGTATACGATATGGCCTGTGTGAATTCTGTTGAATTCATAGTTTTAATGGACATCTATGGAACTGATTTGGAAATGATAGCATCACTGAACTGCTGATGGTTATCTTTTTCGTTCCTTTAGTTCATCCGAATGGAACAGTATTGCTGCTTCAGAGCGGCCGAACGCCAACGCTGAGGATGGAGAATTCTGGTGCAGTTCCAAACTTGTTTATCTATGGATCTAGATTTAGTGCAACTGTAATCTAGACACTTGAATTTTAAATTCAATATGTTTTCTCTGTCTGTCCAGGATGTCATTCTCAGAGTTCGTTAGCCATTACTCTCGTATAGAGATCTGCACTCTGACCCCGGACGCCATCACCAGCGATTCGATTAAATACTGGGCCGTGTCCAACCACGACGGCACATGGAGGAAAGGCTCCACCGCTGGGGGCTGCAGAAACAACCCTTGTGAGCACAAAAAAAACACAAACACACATCAAGCATTTTTTTTTTTAATCGCTTCATTTCAGTAGAAAAATTGATTCACATGGACTAGGTTCGGTTGGTTTGGTTTGTTTAAAAACATTGCTGAGGACTGCATCCATTCATTGAGTTTCAAGAAATGTGCAGGTAAATGTGTTTCCATCGTAGTTTATGGATAGAAAAATGATCCACCTCAATTGAGTGCATACGTTTTTTATGCATATTTTAATATTTTATCTGTACATCAGCATTACAAAGGCCTTAACTGAGTGCATATGTATCCGTATCTTAGCACTATTAAGTTTAGTTGGTTTGGTTTGTTTAATAATATTGCTGATGGCTGCATCCATTCGGTTTTGTTCATGGAGTTTTTTGTTGCGCATTGTGTAATTTATTGAGTAAATGAGTTTCCATCGTAGTTCATACGCATGTCTTCTTACCGAATAGAAAAATTATCCACCTCAATTGAGTGCATATGTTTTTTAATCTGCATTTTAATATTTTATCTGAATTTTAGCATTACAAAGTTCATTTGGCTTGTTTAATAATGGCGGCGGCAACATCCATTCATTGAGTTTTTTGATGCGCATCAAGAAATTTATTCGGTCAATGTGTTACCAATGTAGTTTCTTATTGGATAGAAAAACGATCTTTCTACACTGAGTGCAAATATTTTATTTATTTGCATTTCAAGATTCTATCTGAATTTTAACGTTACAAAGTTTGGTTGGTTTGGTTTAATAATATTGCTGATGGCTACGTCCATTCATTGAGTTTTTTGTTGCACATCAAAAAATGTATGTGGTAAAAGTATTTCCAGTGTAACTTATGCATGTCTTCTTATCGGATAGAAAAATTACCTTTCTCCATTGAGGGAATACACTTTATTTATGTGCATTTCAATATTTTATTTGCATCTTAGTGTTTCAAAGAGTGTTTGGTTTGGTTTGGTTTGGTTTGGTTTGTAATATTGCTGATGGCTGCATCCATTCATTACGGTTTTTTTTTGTTGTGCATCAAAGAATTTATTTGGTAAAAGTGTTTAGATTATAGTTTATGCGCATATCTTCTTATCGGAAAGAAAATGTTTGCTCAATTAAGTGCATACGTTTTTTTAAGCGCATTTATGATTTTATTTGCATCTAGGGCTTACAAAGTTTGTTTAATAATATTGCTGATGGCTACCATCCATTCATTGAGCTTATTGTTGCGCATCATGTAATTTATTCAGTAAATAAGTTTCCATTGTAGTTATGCAGATTATAATTTACAATAACACATCTTGGTGTTATGAAGTTTGGTTTGTTTCAAAATCTTGCTGATGGCATCCATTCATTCATTCCTCAGACACATTCTGGATGAATCCTCAGTATGTGATTAAGCTGAATGATGAAGATGACGATCCGGATGATAATGAGGTGGGCTGCAGTTTCGTGGTGGGTTTGATCCAGAAGAACCGCCGCCGTCTGAGGAAAGCGGGAGAGGACATGCATACTATCGGCTTTGCTATTTATGAGGTAGGTGGAGACACAAGGAGCATCTAAACGTTGTGATTATGATGTATGGAGAGGAAATTAACATAATTCCAGACTCCAGACAACATATCTATAACATCAAATCAACATATTCTTTTTGTTTGTTTCCACAGTTACCTTCGCAGGTAAGAGTTTAACTACAAAGAGGGGCGTGGCATTTCTTTTGACCAATCATACCATTAACCGCAGCATTTCTGGCTCACTGATTGGCCATTGTCTCCGTCAGTTTCACGGTCAGCGCGACGTACACCTCGATAAGAACTTCTTCCTGACGCACGCACAGAAAGCTCGCTCTGAGACTTTCGTTAACCTGAGGGAGGTCTGCACACGCTTCAAGCTGCCGCCAGGAGAGTACCTCGTTGTCCCGTCCACCTTCGAAGCCAACAAGGATGGAGACTTTTGCCTGCGCGTCTTTTCCGAAAAACAGACTGAAACACTGTAACGTATCTCACCTATATGCCAGTATGACTGTATATATTTTATTTTGAATACTTGATTCTGAATTTGATTGGATAATCTTATGTTTACTCCTAGACCATGTGATGACCCTGTGGACGCTGAATTACCTGATGTAAGCAACTCTCACGATTGCAAAGCTCTTAAAAGTCAAAAGCAGAAAATTGGAATATCACACAAAACATTTGCGAATAAAACACTATTTCCATCCCATGTGTTCAAGAGAACAAAATCAGCACCTCCTAGGAAACTGGTGCAAAGTACAAAACGAAAAATGAACGAACTTTCTTTTCCACTTATCCGATCACATGATCTGTTGAGGCAAAGACACTTGACTTTTTTGTTTTGCATCGAGAAATTTATTTGGTGAATGCGTTTCCACACATTTCCACAGTTTATGCGCATGTCTTGTCGGATATAAAAATGATTGACCTCAATTAAATGCATACATATTTTATGAGAATTTTTCACTGCTACAAATTGTTGATTAATGCTGAATTTCTAAATAAATTTAATTATAAATATATATTTTTTATTTAATAATAATATTAAGAATAAATATAATAATAATAATAACAGGCGCGTTTCCATTACAGATTTGCGCAAAACTTTGGCGATATTTTATAAATGTCGATAAAAAAAGCGAATTATTTCTTTTTTTCCATGCCTGAAAAACCACCTCATGCGAGCGTAAAAACTTTTTTGCGATATATGGGCGTTTTTGCGAAATTGACGCGTTTCTATTAGGTGTATTTTCAATTCGCAGTTTCAATTTGCGCAATTTGAAGGGTAATGGAAACGCACCTAATGACTACTACTAATAATAATACATGAATAAATAATAATAATATTATTTTTGGTGGTAATCAACATATTGCCAAAAGGTCTTATTGAACCTGGAGCATTTTTTTAAACTGTACTTCCTCTTGTTTTCAGGAGACTGTCTCAGACGATGAAGTTGATTCTGGATTCAGAGGCATGTTCGTAAAACTTGCTGGAGCTGTAAGTAGTGACGACTTGTTATGCAGTAAACACTTATATTTTTTGAAAAGCAGAGCAACTGATGCATACTTCTCTCTATAGGACATGGAAATCTCAGCCACAGAGCTCACAACTATCTTAAACAAAATCATCGCGAAACGTAAGTACTCTTGCATCCTTTAGTTTCCACTCGAGATCTAAGGAGTCTGAGGAAATGCTTGCTGTGTTCTTTTGTAGGAACTGACATAAAGACAGACGGCTTCAGTTTGGAGACGTGTCGTATCATGGTGAACCTCATGGATGTATCCTCTCAGCTGCAACTGCTAACGTTTTGCTGTTTGTGTTAACTTGACGTATGTGCTTGAGCCGGGAATTACACGAATCTGGTGTGTTTTTGAATTGTAAATTTCCCTTAACTGTATCTCAGGACAGTGGGAATGGAAAACTGGGTTTGGGAGAATTCGCTACTCTGTGGAAGAAAATTCAGCGATACCTTGTAAGAGATCCACCAGATGCCTTTAACACAATTATCCATTTAAATGATTTCTAAATGTCATGACATGTTGCTCCATTTTATTATAACCCCAGGGAATTTACAAGAAGAATGACATGGATAATTCAGGAACCATAAGCACTCCAGAAATGCGCTTGGCGCTGAAAGAAGCCGGTGAGTCTCAGATACTCACACATATACAAACAGAAATCATTGTGGTGGCATATTATAATATTCACTTCTTTTGTTCTCTTTCCTCTTCTAGGTTTCACTCTTAATAACACTATATTTCAGCTACTGGTAGCACGTTACGCCGAGACAGACATGACTCTTGACTTCGATAACTATGTGGCCTGCCTCATGCGTCTGGAGATGATGTTCCGTAAGTTATTCAATATTTTGGCTAATTTAGTATATTTAGCCCTAAAATCATCATAGAAAATGTCTGCAGATTCTGTGTAGGCCCTTTATAATAGGCCCTAGTGTAGGGTCAGGGCCCCCTGTAGTTCTGGAGCATCATTAGTGAATGTACCTCTCATTTTCAGGGGTATTCAAAAAGCTGGATCCCCACCAAAGTGGCTTCATTGAGCTGGACTTTCAGCAGGTTTGTCATGCTATAACATTTTTGAGAATGAAATAATTAATAAATTACATTTTTAAAATAAATAAATACATTTTTTAAACACATTTTCTTTGTCTTTTTAGTGGCTGAACTTCACTATGATTTAGATGACTCATTGCCAGACCAAACCACTCAAGAGTGAACTATTATGATTACGTGTCAAATTTTTTTAAAATAAGTATTTACTTTTATTTTTTAAATTGTCTATTGCACTTTTGATCTGTCTTACTTACTTCTAAAGTGTTGCATGATTTTATTAGCCTACGTTTGACATTGCCACACTATTTTCGTTTACAAATGCAAGCATCCTTGAACAAGGAGAAACCACTGTGTAATAAAAACGTGTGTGCACTATTATGTGTTTTCTCTTCAAAGGACATTATAAAACACTTTTGAAACTGTACTGACTTATATTTTTGTACACGACTGAATTTAGTAAAACGGCATTTCCGGTCCCTTTAAGGCTCTGGGAGAGGATGTTCATTTGACCCCTCAGCTGTCAATCACTCGTTAGTTCCTCCCTCATGGGCGTGGCCGTTCACTGCGGTACCTTGTTTGTTGTGTCTCATCTGCGCTGATCCGTTCATCCTTCTCTCTATTCATCTTCTCTCCGATTCTATCTATTTTAAAACGCACCTGCTGGGCAGATAACAAAAGTGACAAGTAAACGCTGGTAAGTTTTGTTGAACTTTTCCGTGTTAACTATAGGCGATATCCGTCTGTTATGTGTCGCAGTGTGAAATCTCTGCCCTATATTTCCAGCAAGAGACGAAACAATTTTCTTATTTTAAGTAGCATATTTCTTCAATTTCTAACGGTACTTGTGAATCTTATGATCTTATTAATTTGTAAACAAAGCAGCCACATTTTACACACAATGCACATCAACTATTATTCATGCATTTAGGGCGTGCATCATACTTGCATTATATATATAAACACATATAATTTATACATTCATTAATATTAACATTTGTAGGTTTGTCTGGGTTGTGATCAATTGAACAAAAAATGAGCTCAAACTGAATTAAATATTACAGTAATAGCACTATATAAAGCAACATGAGTGAATATGTGCAGCTGTTTTTGAGGGCGTGTTCATTCATCATCTAAAACAAACACTAGAGTGCTGATGCTCAGTCTGGCCTATTGATTTCACATCACAAGTTGGCAATGCTGTGTTTACATAGGCCTACCACATGATCTGTCCCATTGCAACTCAAAGAAGTCCACTGGTTAAAAGTTCATTATTTTGGTAAAGTCTGTATTTGGAGAATACCTGCTGTCCTTTTATACTCTAGATTGACAGTTACATGTACTGTACATTTACACATATGCAGGCAACAAAGAAGTACCACAAACTACCATGGTAATTTTTTTTTTTTGGAGATGTACCATGGTAATATAGTTTGAAGTACTTTGGACTGTCATGTAAATGTGATACATGAATATATACACTATGGTATATGTCAAAATACCATGGTATTGCCATCTGTTAGCATCACATGAAAAAACATGAATTAACATGAATTTGTGTTAGCAAATTAGCATTGAACTGATTTCTCCTAATGTTAAATATGTTTGTAAATGACCTTTTTCTCCTCAAGCCCATGGCCCACACAAGGAACTTAAGGTATATTCACCCTCTTGTCTTTCTGTAGTTGCAGTTCCAGAAAGGAATGATAATGAACTAAATGTCCAATGCTAGCATAGTTATCTTAGCTGGGTCTATGTGGTTTTCTTTAGCCAACGCTTAGAGAACTGCCCTCCGTGGACATTATCCTTGAAATCATGGTGCATGTAAGTAAACAGGGACTGGCAATATTTTTTCTGCAGAGATGATGGGTAATCATATTACAAGACAACATGGAATTAGCCAGTCATTAGTAAACCTCTCTCCACCCTCACTCAGTAAGTCGCTAAATGAGTGTCTGTTGCAGAGGGCATTTCTCTCAGCTAGCTGGACTAAAAGCCGCATGAAGGCTGCTGCACTAATATTGGCAACATGGCTGACCATAAGCAAACATATGCAAGCATCATAAGCCTTTTAACAGCGGCACTTTGCGCTAAATGCTCAAAAGACATTGAATGTGTGCTGTCGAATGATGGTGCTATTTCTGTGCTAGCTTCAAGTAACCAGTCTCCATCTGCCATTCGCATACAGCATTTTTATTTGTATTTTTTTGGTTTGGTGTAGCAGTTAAAGCTCTGGGCTTGTAATCAGAAGGTTGCTAGTTCGATTCCCACAATAACCCCATTAGCTATATTCGTTTAAAGGGAAAGTTCATCTAAAAATGACAGTTCTGTAATATTTTACTCTTCCTCATGTTGTTCCAAACCTGTGTGACTTTCTTGCTTCCATGGAATGCAAACCAAGAAGTGTGCACTCGTTTCCATGTAACAAAAAGTGAATGGAATCTCAGGGATATGGGTTTGGAAAAATATGGGATTTACTTTGGATTAAAGCAGGGCTGCCCAAACTCAGTCCTGGAGGGCCGGTGTCCTGCAGAGTTTAGCTCCAACTTGCCTTAACACACCTTCCTTTAAGTTTCTAGTATGCCTAGTAAGAGCTTGATTAGCTGGTTCAGGTGTGTTTAATTGGGGTTGGAGCTTAACTCTTCAGGACACCGGCCCTCCAGGACCGAGTTTGGACAGCCCTGGATTAAAGCATTTGTTTAAATGACTACTTCCTTATTTTGGTGCGCTACAGTATGTATTCAATTGGAGGAGTGTCGACGCGTATCTACAAGGAACGCCTGCAGGCAGATGGGATGGGAACTAATGACAATGCGGTCAAGTTCCTGAACCAGGACTACGAGGAGCTGAAGAGAGAGTGTTTGGAGAGTGGCAGGCTGTTTGAAGACCCTTGCTTTCTCGCCGTGCCTCAGTCACTGGGCTTCAAGGAGCTTGCACCACACTCCTCCAAAACACGCGGTGTGCAGTGGATAAGGCCCACTGTGAGTGTTGGAGAGCACGGCCTATACGAACAGCACGCTAGTTACTACATACAACTGCATAATCATTATTTTTAGCATATTTTAATACTTGAGAGGGAGTGGGAGGACAACGATTAAGAAATTACACAAGCTAGACTCGAACTCTAATTTCCCACATTAGAACTAAGGTGTAACAATGGGCTCTAACTACTAAGACAAGTCTCATGTTTTTATTTTTAGCACAACTTGACACCTTAATTGATTGGGATAGAAAAGAAACTATAGGAAATCAAATAGGAACAAGATTGAGAAAATACATGAGCTAGATTCAAACTCTCATTTCCCATATGAGAACCAAGGTGTAACTTCTGGTGTTAATTACTGAGACAAGGTTCTTACTTTCATTTATTTTTTACAGTTATCATTTGTATTGATTGTTAGAGAGAAAGGCCAGGAATTTAAGTGGGAGGATCAAGATTTAGAAATTACATGAGGTAGACTCTCATTTCCCACATGCAAACCAAGGCAAAACTACTAAAACATGGTTCCAACAGTGTAGGAAACATTTGAAAGTTAGAGTTAGGGATAGTTTAGCTCTTAAAGAGTTAAATTACCTCCTTCTTTAAAATAAATAAATAAATCAGTTTTAGCAAAGTTTTGTTTAGTTTATATATGCTGAAACATTGAATTCATTATTTAAATTGTATAAATAATATAATTTCATCGGACTGTGTATCCTTCTCAAAGCTCAAACAATATTTTCATAGCTTAACTGATAGTATCCAACCTGTACAATATACCTGTATGTACTTAGACTAGTTTCATTTGACATAGTGAAAATGTCTCACAGATCTCACAGATATAAGTATGTTTAAAGTTGTGAAATCATGCATGCAGGGTGTGTTGTTATAGGCTGACAGGGACAGTAGCACACTTTGGTTGAGGTGTTGCTCTTATGTGTTGTGTTTGCTTGCGTAATGTTTGCAGGAGCTGTCAAACAATCCTCAGTTTATAGTGGGCGGAGCCACACGTACAGATATTTGCCAGGGGGCCCTTGGTGAGTATGTACTATGTATTAGCCTGGATGTGTGCGTTTGTGCATGCTCGCACACGTTAGCCCACCGAATATCAGGAGCTTTATTTGCGCTTCACTGCAGTTTGGGTGATCCTGCAGCTTAAATCTAAGCAAAACAAAGTTTGTCTGCGACCTTCACGCTTTCTTCTGTCAAAACATTGCTACGCAAATGAAGAAACCTCATATTTTCTTCTGAACGTACCAGTTCTTATGTGCCTCTGTAGTTAAAAATAACTTGTTTAGCATCATATATTTGCAGAAATGCAGCAATATAGACATACGTGCTGTGGTATTAGCATGATTAGCTCATTAGCATGGATGTCACCATAATGTAATCAATATAGATAGACAGACAGATACATTTACCGATAGAAATATATAGGCAGAAAGACGGGTGGATAGATGAATGAATGGAATGATGGATGTACTAATATACAGACAATTGGATGGATAAATGGATGGATGGACTGATAGACGATTGGATAGATGTATAGATGGAGGTAGATAGTGAGACGGATGGTTGGACTAATAGACAGTTGGATGGATGGATGGACGGACGGATGAATGAAGGGACGGACAGATGATAGGTAGATGGATGGACTGATAGACAGACCACTGTATAGATATACAGATAGAGGTAGATAGACAGACAGACAGACCTACCGACCGACCGATCGATCGCTTGATCTTGTGTACATCACTGGAGCACTGTATCAACCAATCAGAAGCCAGAACTGGAACTACCCGTTTTATTTTACTGCATATATTATATATTTTGGGTTTTTATGAATGAGCTAATAGCAAATCCCATTAAGTCAAGGGGATTGACACCTCTATGATCAACATTTGTAGTGTATTCTGACTCTTTTGAGAGAAAATGTGTGTTAGGGGGCAGATGAGTGTATATGTGTGATTCCTGGCTGGTGGGGAGTGGTTAAACACAATGCCTGAGTGGTGAGTCATACAGTCATAAGTGTAGCATTAGAGAACTCTGGGATTGGCTCATGGCATGTTTGTGTGTGTGTGGGGGTGTGCACTCACCAGTGCCAAACTAAGTGTGTGTTTGCACAGCAAACACTGGGTGGAGGAGGATGGCGGAGCTTATCACAGATATGCATTTTACCTCTCATTGAGCACACCGAAAGCCTCATGACGTGGTTCAAGCCTCAACAGCCAAAACGGGTTTGGCTTTGTCAAGGGTGTTTAAGATAAAATAGCTTTCATCCAGACTAAATGTACAGTACTGAAATTGTGCTGTTATCTCTTCTTACAAACACATTCTCCACCCCCTCTTCGGCTGTCGGTGGAGGGCTCCCCCTAATGGGGCATTGTTCTACACACAAACATTCACCACGTTTCTACATACAAACATTTACTATAGTCTTAGTTTAAAAAAGTATTATAGTCAGAGGTGTAAAGAGTACCTAAAAACCAAACTTGAGTAAAAGTACAGATACCTTACAGTAAAAATTACTCCACTACACGTTACAAGTCACCAATTCCAAAACAACTTGAGTAAAAGTCTTAGACAAGTGCAGTAACTAATTACATTTACTCCAATACTTTACACCTCTGATTATAGTTACTAAAGGCATTTTCCATTTGAACTGAATGAAAATAAAGTAGTAAAAATAATTGGCTACAAATATGGTAACCATGGTACATTTTTGTAAAGGTAACAGGCTTCTTTTTTTTTGTCACCAAAGGTAATTGCAAAAATAATACCTCAACACTCTTCTCACCTTGCCATTGGTTGGCTAAATAGATAACCCCGCCCCAAACTCATGTCATTGGTCGAGCCAGTTGGTATGAGATAGATAGATAGATAGATAGATAGATAGATAGATAGATGCATCAGTTCAATCAGGAAATCTTAGTAAGCAGACTTAGTACTAAAACATAATACCAAAAAACATTTACATGCTATATGAATTAGTTTAAATAAATGTTCTTTAACAGTAACTGTATTTTCTGTGGTAATTTTTCTCTACTCAGGTGACTGTTGGCTGTTAGCTGCCATTGCATCCTTGACTTTAAATGACAGGCTGCTTTACAGAGTTGTACCTCATGGACAAAGCTTTACGGACGAGTATGCCGGCATCTTTCACTTCCAGGTGCTCAGCCGACTGTTAATGAATGACAGAAATGTAGAACACACATTAGCAGATATAATACAAATACAAAGTTCTTACACTCTAAACTTCTGCTTTTCATTAATTATTTTTATTATTTACTATTTTAATATTTTCATTAACATTTTAGAACTATAAAACATTAATTTATATTAAAGGAGTAGTTCACCCCAAAAATAAAGATTTGCTGAAAATGTACTCACCCTCTGGCCATCCAAGATGGAGATGAGTTTATTTCTTCATCTGAACAGATTTGGAGAAATGTAGCATTACATCACATGCTCACCAATGGATCCTCTGCAGTGAATGGGTGCCGTCAGAATGAGAGTCCAAACAGCTGATAAAAACATCACAAAAATCCACAAGTGCTGTAATACAGATGACTCCAGTCCATCAGTTAACTTCTAGTGATATTTTTAACTTCATGTTTGTAAAGAAATCCATCATTAGGACATTTTAACTTCAAATCATTGCTTTCGGCTAAAATATGAGCCCTGGACTCATATTCAAATATGTACTGGAGGCGTGTGGATTATTGTGATTTTTTTTTTAATCAGCTGTTTGGACTCTCATTCTGACGGCACCCGTTCACTGCAGAGGATCCATGGGTGAGCATGTGATGTAATACTACATTTCTCCAAATCTGTTCAGATGAAGATAGATAGATGATGGATAAAGGATGGATGGATGGATGGATCCACATTGTGGATGGTCATTTGCAGTCTGATTCATTATCAGCAAATTAAAATTTTTGGGTGAAATGTTTCTTTAATATAAATATATTTTTATCAGTATTTGTTATACTAATATGTTTTTTCCCATGTTCTGCAGTTCTGGCAGTTTGGCGAGTGGGTGGACATTGTGATTGATGACCGTTTGCCTGTGAAGGATAAAGAGCTGATGTTTGTTCACTCAGCAGAGGGAAATGAGTTTTGGAGCGCCTTGCTGGAAAAAGCGTATGCCAAGTGAGTCTCTTCCTCTCTCTTGTTCTTTTCATATGATTATTAGAGACCATAACATGTGCGTATGTGCCTGTAGACTGAATGGCTCATATGAAGCTCTGTCGGGAGGTTCCACCACTGAAGGCTTTGAGGACTTCACGGGTGGAGTGGCCGAGATGTATGAACTGCGTAAAGCTCCCAAAGACTTGCACCGCATCATTGCCAAAGCCTTGGAGAGAGGCTCACTGTTGGGCTGCTCTATTGATGTGAGTCCCCACAGCGCCTACTACAGGCCTGGAGACACAATGCAACATTTATGGATCTAGTTACCCAGTTTTTTGTGTATTTGTCTGGTAGATCACTAGTGCCTCTGATATGGAGGCTGTAACCTTTAAGAAGCTGGTGAAGGGGCATGCATACTCCGTCACGGGTCTCAGAGAGGTCAGGATCACCTCTAAAATATATCTTGAGCTCATTATTTTACCATTTTAATTATTTGCATCTATATTTTGTTGTTTAAATTTTAGGTGAATTTCCGTGGCAGCAGGGAAAGGCTGATCCGCATCCGAAACCCTTGGGGGCAAGTTGAATGGACAGGGGCTTGGAGTGACAAGTGAGTCGACCAATCAGGATGAATTTGGATAGATTTTCTTATACAGGACATGTTCATAATATAACACTTTTAGTTCATTTTCAGTTCTTCTGAGTGGAATGGGATTGATCCAGCAGAGAGAGAGGAAATGAACAACCACATGGAGGATGGCGAGTTCTGGTAAATCTCCACAGAAATCTGGTATTTATGGTTCTCGCACCTTTAACTAGGCGCTGTGTATTAGGGTTAAGTGTCAGTCCCAAAAAGAATATTTTTTTTGATTCTGAGATGTTGGCAATCGAGAGTTGACTCCATGATGTGAGCAAGTCTGTGTCTATTACCTTGATTACCAAACCACTACACATCCCAGCAGAGCTGTGACTGCTAATAATGAGGATTTTTATTTATCCCAGTCACTTGAATCTTTTGGTTCTGTTCACAGAATTGACTTGTTCAGATTCATTCACTGATTCAGTCAGTGACTCTCTGTAGGTTACATCCTCAAGGTTTTTTTTTTTTAGTTTTCTGAGTGAGTCTTTTAGTCATTGATTTTTTTCATATGTATAAATTATAGTGTAATAAGTGTATAAGATGCTCTCTTTTCATAAAAATGTAGAAAATTAGTCTGGAATCAGTTCTTAGAATCAACTCCTTCAGATTCAGAAATTGAAGAGCCCTACTCTATGCACTAAATGATTATTTCTATTTCCTGTATAAATGTTGTATTTCCATTCATGTAATTTTACTGACGCTCTGTTCTCTGGCCACTTTAGGATGTCATTTCAGGAGTTCAAACGTCAGTTTTCTCGTCTGGAGATCTGTAACCTCACGCCAGATGCTCTGAGTGAAGATTCTCAAAATTTCTGGAACACAATTAAGTTTAATGGCACCTGGAGGAGAGGAAGTACAGCAGGGGGCTGCAGGAACCACCCCAGTGAGATCAATTCACACAACCCCAATGAAACTTATGCATCAGCTAAAACATACTGCATTACATACTTGTCTGTTTTTATCAGACACATTCTGGATAAACCCTCAATATAAGATCACGCTGCTGGAGGAAGATGATGATCCTGAGGATGATGAGGTGGCCTGCAGCTTCCTGGTGGCCTTGATGCAGAAGGACAGGCGACGTTACCGCAAGCAAGGGCAGGATATGCACACCATTGGCTTCGCTTTATATGAGGTTGGAGGACAAAAGCTGAGATACAAGTCACACACTTAAATATAATTAAATATCATTATTTTCACTCACTTATTGTCTTTTATTCCTGTTTTTATTTAGGTACCAGAAGAGGTATGAAATATTTTCAGTATTAATTTAAGGTGAAGTGTGTAATTTTTTTTATGTTAAAATACTTGTAATATGCAGAGACTTTAATTTAGCCATTTTTGGTTGATTTTCCTTAAATGTATAAAGACTGTTTCTCTGTGGTGTTTTCAATACATTGCTCTGTTTGTTTGAGTATTTTGGCCAACCCAGCATAGCAACAGTGGTTCAACCAATGGCGTGAAGTTGGGGTGTAGCTATGTTTGGCAGACCAATGACAGACAGGGAAGTGTTCAGGAAACCTGTTGGAAAACAATTATTTTTCAAACCTGTTTAGTTATGCAGAAATTACACACTTCACCTCTAAATTACATTCAATTTCTAATTGTTTTGAAAGCGAACAATTTGTGATATAAGCTCTTTCTTCTGTTTCTTAGTTTCGTGGTTCCCAGAGCGTTCATCTCAAGAAGGACTTTTTCTTGCGTCACTCATCCTGCGCACGCTCAGAATCCTTCATTAACCTGCGGGAAGTCAGCACACGACTGAAGCTGCCACCTGGCGAGTATCTCATAGTCCCTTCAACTTTTGAGGCCGGAAAAGAGGCTGATTTCGTGCTGCGAGTCTTCACTGAGAAACAGTCAGAAACTCAGTAAGTAACTCAACTGTTCAACTAAAGTAAACAACAGAGGTACAAAAATATTTATATGTAAAAAATTGTTTGACTAGCTTATGTGCTGTTGTTGTTATTTTTTTAATTGTGCAGCATCACTTTTATAGAGAAAAAATTTCTTTCTTTTTTTTAGAGAAATGGATGATGAGATTTCATTTAACCTGGAAGATGAAGTAAGGATTTCTCTGTTATTTAAATATAACACTAAAATAACCTTAGCTACCACATGGCTATGACCTGAAAACCACCAACAAAACTCATACTGCTCACATTTTCTTCAAACAAACAAAACAAAAAAAAACTTCAAAATTTCTTATCCACAGGTTTCAGAGGAGGGCATAGAAGACTCTTTTAAAAAACTGTTTGCACAGCTGTCTGGAGAGGTGTGTTTCTATCTTTCATTATAGTGTGTGTATTCCATTAGATTAAACTTGATCTAAACTCTCTTGTAGGACATGGAGATTTCAGTTCATGAGCTCAGGACCGTTCTGAACCGAGTGGTTGCCAAACGTAAGCTCAACTGACATTTTTAAGTGTTCACGTCTGGTCTGTGTCTGTGTGTACTTGAGAAATACCTCTGCTCTTCTGTGTTCTTCAGACAGAGACTTAAAGACAGATGGGTTCAGTTTGGAGTCGTGTAGGTGCATGGTCAGCCTGATGGATGTATCCTCAGATTGTGAAATGCTAACTTTTACAAGTGACTTTTGCTTATCTAATAGTGTATATATTTCATTTGATTATTGATAAGCATTTGGTTGATTTTGTTGGCCTTGACTGATCAAACTCAGAAGGATGGCAGTGCACGGCTGGGAATTGTGGAGTTCCAGATTCTATGGAATAAAATCAGGAAGTGGTTGGTGAGAAACTGACTGGTGCATCACAAGTCACATAACCTTCCCTACATCCTGTGGATAGTATGGTGGCAACTCAAACTCATTTTTCTCATTTGCAGGGCATTTTCAGACAGTTTGATCTGGACAAATCCGGCACAATGAGCTCGTATGAAATGCGCCTCGCCGTGGAGTCAGCTGGTAATTAAGTTTTTAATGTTGTGTTAATCTTGTGAAAATCTTTGACCATGGCATGTTTTGGTTACATAAACAGGAGGAGCATCGATCCAGATTTGATTTGACAGCTCTTAATTCTTTTTTTATTCTAAATCATTTTGTTTCAATTCAGATTCATTTATATTTCAGTCACAATGTCCATTATACTTGCATATGTCTTGATTCACTAAAAAGAACACGTTCAAAAGAGTAATTCTTTTAGGAATCGGGCTTCACTGGTTGCGATTTATGTTTTAATTCACCAAAAAGAACCAGTTCATAAGAATAATTTGTTTGTGAATCAGGCTACACTCGTCAGTCGTCACCCTATATGCTTTTGATTCACTTAAAAGAACCGTTCATAAAAGTTTGTGAATCGGACTACACTGATGGAGCTGTATGTTTTTGATTTACTAAAGTGAACCGGCTCATACCTTTACAGATATGTTTTCACGCAGCCACTGTATTGAGTAAATCGATTTTAGGATTTCAAATTAAGTTTGCATTTGATCTATTGATGGCATAAATTAACGTTTTTGAAGCTTTGAATCAACTGAACCAACTGCTCTGCAAAATGATTCACTGTTTTGAAGTTCTGTAAATACCACACGCTGGCGACGCCTGCTGGTCAAAACTGTGTAAATGCAACAAAAACATGCCAAAGCATGCATAAAAACAGCTTTTACAAACGCACTGCAATTGTTTTATTGAAAGTATAATCTATTAAATGCAATTAATAAATAATCTAATGTCATTAAATACGGAGTGTCTGTATAATATGTGTTCTTGTTAATTTTCAGGGCTTGTTTTGTTTGTTCTATGGAGGGCTTGGCTAAACAGGCCAAAAAGAGACTATTAACTACTACTCTTCCTTTAAATTATAAATTTGTTGCATTAAAAATGTCTACAAATGTATAAAACTGATCCAAGATTGCTAGTTTAACCAGTGAAAATCGATAATTTTACCATGCCCTAATATTGTGCCTTTTCCTTGTCTTCAGGTTTTAAACTCAATAACAAGCTACATCAAATAATTGTGGCGCGATATTCTGATGGAGATACGATTGACTTTGATAACTTTGTCTGTTGCCTGGTCAAACTGGAGGCCATGTTCAGTACGTCATTTACACATATAATTCTCTTTTTGCAAAAAAAAGTTGATTTGCTAATGTTTCACTAAAATGACTCATTAAACGTGTCGTCTTCAACAGGGACTTTTAGAGAGCTGGACAAAGAGGGTTCAGGCATCGCAGAGCTCAGTGTTAGTGAGGTGGGTCATTTCTTAGCTTCTGTTCACCTATACTTTTCAAAATGGGGGAACATTACATTAGTAATGCATTAAAACCTAATACTGTATATTTTCGCAAGAAAAGTAAATAAAGTCATTAGCTCTTTTGCTCTCTCCTACAGTGGCTGTACCTGACCATGTGTGGTTGATGTGTGAAGATCATATCGTGCTGGACTAGAAGGGCCAAAATTACTCCCTCAACTGCAGCTTTAAGCCATTACACCCAAAGATGCTTGAGCAATCCAGTACATATTGCCTTAAACACATCCCCCATCACATGAGCCTATGGCACTATATGCTTTTTGATTGAAAAAGGGATTTCCTTATTATGCAAGATGCGTTTATCCATTATGAACCACTAAATGTTACCGGAAAAATATATTCTAGCATTTCGAAGAGCAACTTCACATAGCTTTATGATTAACTGCATGCTACTAACCTTATGCTGTAGGTTATTTTTCTGTACCTCACATATGTAGCTTAACCTAGAATTTGAAATTTACACCGTTACAGCCTTGATATTTAAAGAAATTTAATTTTTATTTGATCCTGTCAGTGTATGATTTTGATAGCATTTATGATCAATGTGATTTGCTGTGCAATTATTTATATAAAAACAACTTGAGATCTTATAGGATATTCAGGGAATTGTGCTACACTAGATCTTTTCTTTTATGCTGCTTCTTAATGAAAGGAAATGAAAATAAAGTTTAAATGTAACTTCTTGGTACGTTATGGCTTTTTAATGGTTGATGAATATATATTTAAAATGTAAAAAAGTGTTGTTTTTCTTGCAATTCTTAGTCTAAATCTCCCAATTCAGACTTTTCTCGCATTCCAAAGAGTACAAACTACAAGATGCAAACTTGCAATTCTGAGTTTATATCTCCAAACTCTGACTTTTTATAGCAAAAATTTGTTTTCATGCAGGCACATTTTTAACCTGTGACGGAAAAATGGCTTCCATAGTGCGTGTATAAATATTGAATTCTCAATATAAAATGTTCCCTATGATATATTTCCTAAATGTGTATGTGTATATACACATATATACACATATATACACATATATACATATATACACATATACACATATACACATATATACATATATATACATACATACATATATATACATATATACACATACACATACACACACATATACATACATACATAAACACATACACACATACATACATACATACTACATACATACATACATACATGCATACATACATACATACACGCATACATGCATACATACATACATACACGCATACACGCATACATACATACACACACACACGCATACATACATACATACACACACATACATACACACACACACACATACATACACACATACACACATACATATATACATACACACACACACACATATATACATACACACACACACACATATATACATACA